ATTTTTTTTTTTTCATTTCTCTCCACCGTACAATTTCCACTTGTTCTCCCATTCCTTTCTCCTCTATATGATTCCATTACATACTCGATCCCCTCTTCCTTTTTCCCATTCCTTTTCCTATGATTCCCATAATGTTCATTCTCCCTTGCATCATCTCCTTCTCTCTCTCCCTCTCTCCTTCTCCTTCTCCTTCTCCTTCTCCTTTTGCCTCTCCTTCTCCTTTTGCCTCTCCTTCTCCTTCTGCCTCTCCTTCTGCTTCTCCTTCTCCCTCTTCTTCTCCTTCTCCTTCTGCCTCTCCTTCTGCTTCTCCTTCTCCCTCTTCTTCTCCCTCTTCCTCTTCCTCTCCCTCTCCCTCCGATCCATGCCCCTTTCATCTCTTCTCCCATGCTTTCTGCTTCTTTTTCCTCGCTTTGGCGTCTGCTTGTTCCACCCCTTGTTCGCCACTCGTTCCCTCCCTCCCTCTCCCCCATCTTCTCCTTTGATCATCATCTTCCGTCTACCTTTGCCGTCCATGCCCTCGCTCGCTCCATCTCGCGCCTGAATTTGTGTTTTTTATTTTATTTTATATCATGTATATGGATCTTGTTGGACTTTCCCCGCTCGTCCCAGACGCGACCTGTTGCTGTTCACCTCTCCGCATCCTTCTTCTCCTGAAAGTCGGCTTTCCAAACCGAATTCCCTCTGCTCTTGTTGCTCTCTCAAGCGCACGTTGTTTCCCACGGGCCGTCGCCTCATCCTGCGCTGACTAACCCCCTCGTTCTATAACTTCCTCTCATGGTTGCCACATCTTCATCTTCCCCTCCGCCGCTTCTTGACGCTCCGTCATGCTGTACCGTCCTCACGCCTCCTGCTTCCCTTTCTCTCAAATGATTATAATATTATATCCTTGCACACGGTCCACAGTTTTGCTTCGTTCTGCGTCTGATCGTGTCGCTGTTGGCGGTTGCGCCCGACCCCACATGACTGATTTGATCCACCACCGACAGTAAAGCGCATCAAAAGCTCGCGCAGTTGGCTGTCATGTCGAATTCACAGCCGGCGACACAACAAGAAGCCAAAAACTTGACAAAAGCGAGCGGCGGGCTCTTCACCAACACCAAATGGCAGCTGAGCCGCTGGTCTCAAATTTCGGGGACACGTCAAAAACAAGCACACCTCGGTCTCTTCACGCGCTTACAGTACCCACTGTGGCGTCGCGGGTGGACGGCGACCATCCTGTCACATGCCAGCCCCACCTCAAAGCGGCCCAAACCAAAGCAAAAAAAAGCAAAAAAAAAAAAAAAAAAAACCGCCTTGGCTCCTTTACCAACACCAAATGGCAGCCAAGCGGCTGATCTCAAATTTCGGGGACACGTCAAAACAAGGAACACATCACGTCCTTGATGCACGTCCGGTGCTCACTGTGGAGTCCTCGTCCACCTGGGACCATCCTGTCACACAGCACTAGCGTCAGAATCATCTGGCGGTTCGCGCCCCAAAAATATCACGCTTGCCCTCCCATTTTGGCATGGATAGCATTTCCAAAAGCGGATCGCAGATCGACTCCCCACCTGCATGCGGGCTTTGTGCGGAATCTGAACAGGCTCCGCGGCTCCTGGGCCTGGCCAGCGCGTCCATCAGCGCACCAGCCGTCACGGCTCCTCACGGTCAAATCGAGGAGGAATTGTCTTGGCAGCCATCCATCCACGACGGTCGCACGGCAATGTTGTTTGGCCACCCGTTCATCCCTGTCGTCGCTTGCACCTCGACAGCGCTCGCCCCTGATGCCACAACGACGACAAACCGCACCATCATCATCAGGAGTGCGCCCGCCGCCCATGGTCCTGTTTCATCCTCTGTGCTTCATCACGATGTTCAAAATTAAAAATTCAAGCAAAGCTTAAGGGAAGGAAGAGAGGCAAGAGGTTAATGAAGCAAAGATACGACTAGTTGAAGCCGATCATGGCCAGTCAAAGTAACAAGATGCAGTACATTCAGCACTTATTGAAGAAATCTCTAAAAGGATGACATTCTCTGTCTCTCTCTGTGTCTCTCTACAGCAAAGCAAAGCCAAGGGGTTAATGAAGCAAAGCTCCAAGTAGTTGAAGCAGATCTTGGCCAGTCAAACTAAGAAGATGCAGTACATTTAGCACTTATTGAAGCGATCTGACATTCTCTGTCTCTCTCTGTGTCTCTCTACAGCAAAGCAAAGCCAAGGGGTTAATGAAGCAAAGCTCCAAGTAGTTGAAGCAGTCATGGCCAGTCAAAGTAACAAGATGCAGTATATTCAGCACTTATTGAAGCGATCTCTAAAAGGATGACATTCTCTGTCTCCTCCTCTGTGTCTCTCCACAGTGACCTCTTGTAATGAAAATCCTGTTTTATTTTTTAAAAAGAAGTAAAAAACTTTTTGTGGAGCTGTGTGTTGAAACGGACTCTCGAGTCCTGGAGACTCTTGATCTTGAGCCAATCTCCGTCCTGCAAGGGTCACAGAGACGATGGCATGCACCACTTGCCTCCTGTTGTTGATTTGCACCTGTTCTCAAGTGGCTTCGTCACACGCTAGTGAGATACTCTGCTGCCATTTGAGGGCTCTGGCTGCACCGTCATGGTGCGAGAAGGGTTGAGAAGGAGTTGGAAGAGTCGCGGGCGGCTTGCCCGCTGCTGCATCTACGATCGCTGAGAGGGTCAGGCTGTAGCAGTGCGCTGTGAGCTCCCAAGTGTAAAGATGCCCATTCGGTATGCTTGGTCGTTGCCTTGGCCGCGGATTCTCGTTGCTCATCATAAGCTTTTTCCATGTTAGAAAAATCAACACGAACGACGACAGCGAGCCGACGCGGCTGTTGCTGCCCATCATCACATGGCGGGCCGTGTGTTTCAGGATGATGAACCAAGGTTCTACACAGGAGCTGTTAAAGGCCAACCTGTTTTCGATCATGCTTCGTTTCGCTTGAAGCTTTTTTCCGGTAGCGGCCGTTGCCGTCGTCCATCCTCACCGGCCCTGTTCTGAACTGCGTACGATGCGACCCCAAATGAAATTCAGACCGCGCGTACTCGCAACGGATACCAACAAGACACGGCCCATGACGCTCGAGCACTCTGCACTCGGGAGGAGCAAGCTTTGAGAGCAGAGTATATTGATCAACGAGCCGCATGAATCGCTCCCGTACGCGCAATGATGGCATACAGCTGATGAACGAGCTGCTTGCCGTGGGAGAGGAGTATCGTGCGCAAGAGAACCGATTCTCGATACGCAGCTTACCGACCACTCAGTCACCGTAAGTGTGCATTTCGTCGACGTGCGGCAGACGCCCAAGCCGGTGTTGGACTGGTTTCGTCTGTGCTGCAAGAGCAATGGTTTTATCAACTCGAGGAGGAATTTGGTCTTGATCTGGTTAGTGCAAGGGCGCAAGACGAGCTGCGGGCTCACTAGCTTTGAGGAGTAGCCAGCTCGTTGACGGTGGGCGACGAGATTCACGTCCTTTACGTCGCCATTCACGCACAGCGTCAAGGGCCGGATTGAATGGCTAGAGCCTTTCGACATGCTGGCATATCAGCTGAATCCAGAGACATCGATCATATGCTGAACACACCTCCCTCAACACCCGGCTCTGCGCTGCCCAGTCCTGCACCTGGAAGGGCAACTCAAGCGCACCAGTCCGATATTTCCCCCGCTCAGCCGGCCTCCGCAAACACTAGCCCGCGTACCGCTCGTGCCTTGGCCAACAAAAATGCAATCAAGGTTGCAGCACGAGAGCATTTTGCATCGCTGCAGGCCATGTTTGTTTAGAGTCTTACTCATGTAGCAGTACGACACAGTCAGCGACGCGTTCCGGTTCGTGGGCCACAAGGCCTCTTGGGTGAGGGCGACTCTCTCGCTCGATTGCTCCGGCGTCACTTCAACACCTCTTCCGGCGCGACAGCGAGCCCGCGCGAGCAAAAGCAATGAACGAACACAAGGATTGGATGCAAGCTCTGAATACTGATACACTTACCCTCGTGGGCCTTCGAGGTGCTTGTCGTCGCCTAGGCCTTTGCGTGTTTGGCAATAAGGCCAGGCTGATCGAGCGTTTGAGGCAAGCAACAGGTCTTTCTCGGTCAGAAAAAGTTCAAAACGGCTTGAGTACTCGAGCCAATGAGCATGACACATTCACAGACGAGGCAGAGGACCAGACTTCAATGCCTCGGCGTTTTGGCGACGAGGATGGCGTCAACATGACTGCTGCCTCGCCGGACACAAGCCCGGAAGTACATCCAGCGACAGCCAGCCATCTAGCCTCGAGTGAAGCAGCTGGTTCCTCAAATTTACATGCACTTCATCCCCCACTACCCACTGAAGAAGATGAGCCTGCCCAAGATTACACAAGTGCAAAGGAATTTGATTTTTTGGGTCCGATCCTGGCACGACCCAGAAGAGAGCCCCCCCTTGACGAGCATCAGTCTTTACGAGGCAAGCTGCATAAATGCAGGCGAGATTGAGGACATCTTCAAGACATGTCCTGTATCATTCCAGCAGTACAAGACAGCAGTGTGGTGGTGATTTGTTGGCACGTCCCGCTGCTTTTCGCCAGGCCCCCTGTTGTGAAGCCTCCAATCGCTAAATTTGTTGTTTCGCGACTTGATCATGACTGTTTCCGTCCCGACAATTGTCAAAGCAAAGTATATCCAACAGATCATGCCCAATGAGACGGTTGAGCGCGGTATCGGGCCATGTTCTCATCCCGTTGGCTGATAGCCCAGCTACATCTTCTCCATGCAGCAGTCAAGCTCGGCATGCTCAGTTCACCAATCTGCACACATGTATAACCAAAAGGCCGCATGCTACAACAATAAAATCGGCAACATTCGATGCAGCTTCAAAAATTGAGTAGACTGGTCATAAAATGAGACATACAGCTCGA